TCTGGAACCCTGGTACCCAGTGTTGAGATTAGTAAATTAGTTAAATCATTATGATTACTATTATGTGTTGAGATGCTTTACCAAGGCCGAGAAAGAGTCAAATGCTGTTAGACAAAGGGCCCTTAGTAAAGAGTTACATTTTTGATTCTGTTAGACACTAAGGTCCATTTCTTCACGAGAAACAGAAACTTATCAGGCCACAGAGACATGGTGTGATTTCAGGGAGTGTTTTCAGTCCATATAATCAGCTACCCTCCTCCTTCTCCTCAGACGCTGCACAGACTTTTTAGAAACTCTTCTTGGATGTAATGGTAAAGCGTCTCCTTTCAGCGCTGAAAGTTAATAAAATAAGTAAAGTCTGAATGCTTTTCTTGGCTGATTTTATGTTCCGTGTGTCAATACCAATTATGATTCATCGATTGAGATTCTCGTTCTCAACAGATGGTAGCAGAGGATGGTTTTGTGTTGACACATGAGCAGAGATTGGACTGGCCGTTAAGGCGCAGACTTTCTGAAACAGTACTCTGGTGTAGGGCCCACACAAAAGGTAAGGACACTTGTTCCTTAATATACACCACTGTACTGTTTCTCAGGTCTGTATAAATTTCATATTCCTTTTACATTTCTGTTCAAATTGTGTTTCACTGGCCTGTCTAGATGTTTAACTGTTCATAGGAATAAGTGAAGAAAAAGTAGTTTTTAGGTGTAAAGAAACAGTAGTTTTTAGGTGTGAAGAATTAGGTTTAAAGGTTGATTGGCATTGCAGAGGGAGGTCGCTGTCCCCGGCTTTTCCCGGACGCGGGGAAGGTAAAGGCGAGGTTTTGTCGGTTTTATCCTTGGGGAGTTCTGCCCCCTAAAAAGAACGCGTTAGCCAATCTGTGACTTGCTCAAGAAACACAAAAGTGTTGAGAGGGGTCCACCATAGGAAAAAAGATAAGAGAATAAGATAAAGGTTGATCGCGATCTGATCCTCTGTAGTGTAATAAGTGTTAAAAAGAGGACAAAAATAGGAGCTGAAAAGCGTGGATCCATTTCTGTGTATCTGAAAGCTGTGTGTGTGTCTGTCAGCTGTGTGTGTGTCTGTCAGCTGTGTGTGTAAGCTTCTGCCGCTGAGCAGACGTTATGTGTTTAAATGTACTATTTTATGTTTATTGCAATGTGTTTTAAAACCATGGTCAACATTGGGAAATTATAATCTGTGGGAGGTTTTTGACTTTGTCTGCTGTGTTTGATTTCCTCGCCGCCGTGCGAGCAAAACTGCTAAAAAAAAAAGAGAAAAAAAAAGGAGAAAAGAGAGAAGAGGTGATTTTTGAACCTAAATTTTGAACCTAAACAAATGGAGGGTGAATTTGAAAAGGAAAATATGATCCAAAGTGGGGCATCGGGCCATGGATTGCGCTCGGTGAGTAAATAGAAGCATTAATAACTTATTTGCCAGAGGATGACGAATATCAAAATACGAGAGAAACAAAAAAAGGGGGCTAGAATACCTGGTGCAGAAGAAAGGAGGCGACCTGTTAAACAGACAGCCTTTGGGGAAATATTGGCTGGAAGGAATAAATGATGGTAAGGGAAA